GCTGTTATCTGTAGTCTCTCTTCTCTACGTGTTTGTTATAATTACTTCTATCAATAACGTGTTTTCTTTGTCTCTCTTCCAGAGGAAAATACACCTGGACCCGTTTTGTGTTTACCTGTGTCTTTTTCCTGTCCCCCAACCTAGCCGGTCGAGGCAGATGGCTGCCTGTCCTGAGCCTGGTTCTGCTGGAGGTTTCTTCCTGTAAAGGGGGAGTTTTTCCTCTCTGCTGCTGCCGGTGTGCTGCTCAGGATGGGAGACAGTCACGAAGCAAAGATTTGGCGCAGTCTGCTGGCTTCTTTAGATTTATTGTTTTGTTTGTGTACAGTGCCCTGAGACAACAGTTGTTGTGACTTGGGGCTATATAAATAAACTGAACTCAACTGAACTGAAGTCTAACTCAAGGCCCGTGGGCCAAATGTGGCCCGAGTTGGGGGAGGGTCTCTATCCGGCAGCGACCGAAAACGCTGCTCCGCTAACAGAATGTGGCCTACGGATGACTCTCATCTGGTCCTCCAAAAAAATTTGTTTAAAGGGGACCTATTATGCAAAATTCACTTTTAAAGCTTTTTTTTAACTCAACTTTGGGTATGTACTTCTAAAAAAAACAGTCCTAGGACCAAAAAAAAAATGCACCCAGGGGCATATTTACTGTAAGCAAATGTATTTTTAATGTATATTAATGACAAGTTTTATACTTCCGTCATTTTGTGATGTCACAAGCCGTACGACAACCCACCGGAACCTGCGTTCAGCCCCTTATTTAGCAACCCCCGGGTGAGGCACCACCTCCAGTATAAAAAGCCGTCAYGGTTGTTGTTGTGCAATGCGAAGYTCATTTCACAACAAGCCTCCAATAGGGCAATGGGTAGAGTGTTGGACCAGAGAGTGGGAGACCAGGGTTTGAGACTGACACGGATACAATTTAATTATTTATTTTCGTTCGTTATGAACATATTTTCTCATGTACCTCTATTGTTTTTAGCTATAGCCTATTTGTTCAAGTTTCTGAGGTATTTTGACCGCTGCTGCTCCAATTGCCTGGCCTTGTAAGAGCATGCAGAGTGAGCGCAGAGCTCCGACACAGGAGGAAGGGGAGAAAAAAAAGCTGCGACCACGACTCTGCCTCTGGGTCTGACTCAGGGTCTCATATATACGGTTGTTCAACGGAGCTTCTGCTATTTCTAGCCATGCTAACGTAAACGCTGGCTCTGGAAGACGGAGCTTGGAGGGCGTTACCAACAGAGCTCATTAACATAAACAGCTCTTCTGAACGGAAGTCAGAGCAGGCAGAACTAGAAAATGGGAAATTTTATTATCTGAGAATTATTTTGTGCATTAAATTGAATGAACATGGTCTGGATAGCCCACAGACATACCATAAAAATTTCTGGGACCCATAATTGGTCTCCTTTAACTTAATAAGAAAATAGTCAGCTAGCTTCTGTAACCGAAGATCAGACCGCCAAGGTCCTCGCCTTCGACCACTGCCCAGCACACAATGCACCAGACTCCTTTGGCCCCTCCCACAGGTGGTGACCCCATGGGAAGGGGGACCCACCTCTCCTCTTTGGGCTGTGCCCGACTGGGCTCCATGGGTGAAAGCCTGGCCACCAGGTGCTCGCCAACRTGCCCCACCTCCAGGCCTGGCTCCAGAGTGGGGCCCTGGTGACTTGCATCCAGGCGAGGGAACACTGAATCCATTTAAGACATTCATCATAAGGGGTCTTTGGGCTGCACTTTGTCTGATCCCTCACCTAGGACCTTTTGTTCACGAATGAGGGAAGAATAGAGTGGGAGATCAACAGGCGGATTGGTGTTGTGTCTGCAGTGATGCGGGCGCTGTACCGATCCATCATGGTGAAGCGAGAGCTGAGCCAAAATGCGAAGCTCTCGGTTTACCGGTCAGTCTACGTTCCTACCTGCATCTATGGTCACGAGCTTTGGGTACTGACTGAAAGAACAAAATCATGGATAGGACTGCACAATATATCGAAAATTAATCGTTATCGCGAGAATAGCCTGTGCAATATGCATATCGCAACAACTGCATAAACTGCAATAAATTGTTGACTCAAAAGTTTGCATTTATGCGTTTTGACATTCAGATGGAAGCTTGAAATATTTCACCAATCAAATTGAGCCCTTCATGTATTTGGTCAATTAGAAAAAGAAATTCAGGCTGGAATGGAACAGATTAGTTTATTTTAGGTTGATTTTTGGGCTTTGAACCCAGAGCAGAAAGATATCAACACTACATACATATTTGTTCATTTATCGCAAGTCATTTCGTCATCCCAATATTAAGCACTGTTATCGCACATTGCAGGTTTTCCTAATATCGTGCAGCCCTAATCACGGATACAAGCGGCTGAAATGAGTTTCCTCCGCAGGGTGTCTGGGCTCTCCCTTAGAGGTAGGGTGAGAAGCTCAGTCATCCAGGAGAGACTCAGAGTAGAGCCGCTGCTCTTCCACGTCGAGAGGAGCCAGTTGAGGTGGTTCATCTGGTTAGGATGTCTCCTGGATGCCTCCCTGGTGAGGTGTTCCGAGCACGTCCCACTGGTAAGAGATGCAGAGGAAGACCCAGGACACACTGGAGGGACTATGTATCTCAGCTGGCCTGGGAACACCTTGGGATTCCCCCAGGTGAGCTGGCCCAAGTGGCTGGGGAGAGGGAAGTCTGGGTCTCTCTGTTTAGGTTGCTGCCCCCGCGACCCAACCCCGGATAAGAGGAAGAAAACAGACGGAGGGACAAAAATAGTCCCTTATACCGATGGTAAACTTTAAAGTTATGATAGAAAGCTACAAAGCAAATAAATTTACAAGGTGAAACATAATACTACTTTTCCTGCCCCTGAGCTGTTGGCTTTAATTAACTGAGCAATGCAGTAGGATAGCACATTAATGTCTTAAAATAAGCTGCTTTAAACACAGCATTGACCATAAACTGCATTTCCCATAATGCATCTTGATTAAACATGGAAATTCCCTGTCAGAAAATAAGAGAGATCAGAATTCAACTCATCAGTGAGTTAAACTATCTTACTTAGTATAGTAAGTAATAGTATTTATTTCACATTTAGTCAGTAGTACACATAGTACTTTTCAGTGTTTTTAAGAGGACATGTAAAAAGTCTGTTTAGCTGAAGTTAAACATGAAACATCAAAATTAATTACAACTGGCTCAAGCAGCCCTCGGAGAAAATGAGTTTAGATGAAGAGCATACAATAAAGGAAGAACTTAACCGAGTTACAAAATCAAGTCTTCACAACGCAAATAAAACAAAACAACCCAAATGAGGCCAGAGTGTGTCATAAAATGTTGCCAACAAGTCTTCCACCCAGGAGCTTCCCATGCTCCACACTGGCAGCAGTGAGCCGCAGAGTAATAGCTTCCATGACACACTGGGGGGAGGAGAGTGGCACTCAGACAGCCCTGTGGTGTGTGTACAGGCCTACGTGTGTATGCGAGCGTCGATGGGTGTCTCGCTTCGCTGCCGATGCCTGAGCTGAGATAATTAGGTTGCCTGCAGGCTGGAGAAATCATGTGTAGGTTTCCCAAGTGAAGCGGAGAGCTCAACCTTTTGTGAACACATTCCTGTTCATTCAGTAAGTCCACATACCAAAGCTTACACATAGACAGACAGGAAGTGTGCACGCTGTTCTGAGTGGCCTGGAGGGATTTCTCAAAACGTTTGCTCTCAATGACCTCAATAAAATCCTAAGTATGTACACAAATTGCATCAAGCCTCTTCATGGACACTGGACGCTTTTCCTTTGGGCAAAAATCTGATCTGGATTCTCAAATACTTATCACCCTCTGCCTTGCATGCCACGGTTTCAAACAAAGATCTTAAGCAATCTGTTAGCGCTCAAAGTATTTGTTATGGGTGACTCAGCTACTGCCACACCAGATGTTACCTCAACATCTGTAAAACTGAGTAAGTTGGAAGCCATCCATTCTTAAGTGGACTTCAAATTATAATCAGCTGTAGAGCTGCATCCATTGACTTCTCTCTGAGACTGATTAAAATCTGTGATTGTTTATGAAATATTTGGCTAAAAGCAGTCAAATGTATGTCACAATACCTTTTCATGGCAGCAGTTGATAAGCTGCATTTTACATGCATGTGTATTTTCTGGCTTACAACTTACGCTTATTCACAAACTTACTCAACAATCCCAGATCGTGTAACCATCTCCTGTGTGTTAAAACAGAGCAAAAACCACTAACAGTGTTTTTATCAGCCCAAAAATTAGAAAATGATTCAGACAACTTGACCACTTTTCCCTCCTCTTATTTCCCTCTAGGCTACTACTCCTGTCAGTCACATGACATGGAGCTGACGTAACATGTAAACATGGAGGTACACGCTGGACTGAAGAGGAAACAGAGTAAAAAAAAGAGCCAGTGCAGAGAATCATGGTGGCAACAGCAATGATGTAACTATTTTACATATGGAACTTTTCTGAGAACAATGTAGAAGATCTGACAGTAGGCAGAGCTGTAAAGTAACTAAGTACAAATACTTTGTTACTGTAACTAAGTAGAAATTTTAATTATCTGTACTTTACTCAAGTAATTATTTTTCAGCCCTTACATTTTCACACAATTATCTGTACTTTGTATGTTTTATAAAAAGGTACGAAGTAGAAAGTCGTTATGCCTGTTTCATTTTGGCTTGTTTTCTTTCTGGCTTGGTATTGTTAAAAAGCTATCCAGATAAGATTAAACAGTTTAATTTAAAAGTATGTCCTTAAAACCTGTTGTTTATGTTGAAGAGAAAAAACATGGTGATATTTTATACAATATCAGTATCAATAAACRTATTCACTGAATTGAATTGCACTGAATCGAATCAAATCGTGATTAATTGATTCTGAACTTAATGAATCAAAATCAAATCGATTTAGAGAATTGGCCATAATACCCAGCCCTATCAAGTAGTATCAGATACTGGAGTAAAAAGCATGCACAGTTGATAACCTACCAAGGTGATGGATGTGTAGCTTGCATCAGAGGGAAATGTGAAAACTGTTGCTGTAGTAACAGGACTACTAGGAGGCGGGGTCACAATTAGTCCAGTTGTGCAAATATGTACCTGTCAACAAAAGGAGAAATGTAAGACTTTAATTCATCAGTCTGAACCTACTGCAGAAAAAGCACTTATCAAGGACACACTGATCTTTAAGAATGCTCAATATTRGCTCAATTTTACGAAATAACGAACCCACCGAGCAGTTCAAAAAAGGTCCTGTGACATTTCATTAGTGGCAGCTTTTCCAATCAGTCATACAAACACGTCTTCATGATGTCCTGGTAACAAGGCAACACAAACACACAATCTCTCCCTGTAACCTGTTGACCCTTCAAGGATGACTGCTTCAGACAGATCTGCCTCTTAAGCTGAATCTCTCAGAGAGCAACAACGTGCTCAAAGCTAGCATTGTTGGTCTGAAATTCTATAATGCACAAGGCACATTGACAAGAGTGTATTTTCTTAAAATTTAAGAAATGTAAGCCAGTTGGTTGATTTGAACACCCCTCTGGAATGCCATATAATCCATCTCCTTATGATACTCTATTTTATGACAAACTGAGTCTTGTAGTTAAACAGCTTGATTCTCAATGACGGACAATATGGAATGCGTATTTTAATATCAATTGGTCTGATAAACACTGTAAACAAAGACTAAAAGCAATCATGACAAAATTTAATTATCAGCAAATGAATAAAAGACAGACAAGGTTACCTAGGCAGACTAAAACCCTCATTGACCTGGTATTTAGTAACAAACCAGAACTTATAATCTTATTACAGGACTTTCAGACCATAACATGACTCTGGCAGCTGGGAAACTGACAAGAAAACACCTGCAGTACTTTGGTAAACCTAACAATGAAAGGATAAAAAGTATCATTCCAAAATCAAAAACTGCAATTTGAAAGGGAACTCAGTAAGATAAAATGGGACCATATTATGCATCCAGATGATGTAGGGGAGTGTTGTAGTTCCATGACAGCAACAATTGCAGGACTTTTGGAAAAATTCACAAAGCAAATAAAATCTARACAAAAAAAAGAAAAAAGAAAAAAACTACATTATCGTGGATAAATACTGAAACACAAAAATTTACGGAGAAGTGGAATTTGGCTCTTAAAACCTCTTCAAGTTTAAAATGTAACACTGACCTTTTGATGAAGCAAAAACACCACATTATTTTCAACTAAATGACAAGACTAAAACCATCAATAGTTCACTTTGGAAGCAAATAATCTGACCAACAGGACCAATAAATACAAAAGGATAACTGAACTTACCATCAATGGTAATAGTCAGTGGTGGGCACAATTCCCTTAAAGTACTAATAGGGGAACTAATTTCCTGATTAGTGCTTTAGGGCTTTTGCTAATTTTACAATTTATTTGTGGATTAGCACTTCCTAAATTTATAGGTTAAATTTAGAATCATTAACTGAGGTCTATACAAGTTATTGATCCATGTTAATGTTAACAGCTGAGGGTGAAAGCTGTCACACATTTTGTTCATATGTGTGTCACTTATCCACCAGGTGAAAATATTGACAATATATGAGCCCAAATACAGCTGTGGAATGTCAATGATAAGTCAGAGAGCWACGTGACTCATGTTGTCTGTTGAAGAATATTCATGGGTGACTGGGTTATTTTAGTGCTTTAGAATTAGCTTTTACCAAAATGTTCAGTGCATTAAAGCTTTTACAATTAGGAGACCTAAATATTTGAGTTAGTGTTTTAGGGCTAGTGGAACTAATTTCTAGATTGGTGCTGCCCACCATTGGTAATAGTATAATAGTGCCATTATGGCTGAAAATTTCAATTCATTCTGTATTTTGTACAATCAGTCTGTAGACGCTCCTAATCAGTTACTGGGAATTACCTCAACAGATTCCTTTCATATAGAAGAGGTTCAGGATAAAAAAGTTGCAGAAATAACAAGCTTTCAAATTCCAAATCGACTGACATTTATAATATGAATAGTTGTTTTCTTAAAAAAATATCAAGATGTCTTTGTTAAACCACTGACACATCTCATTAATCTCTCCATAAGAAAAGGTATGTTTTCAAGTTCTTGGAAAAAAGCAGTAATCACTGAGGAACTCAAAACAGGAAGTCAGGACTCTAACTATCGCCCTACATCATTTTTACCAGTTTTATGTAAAGTAAGTAAGTTGTTGCAGCACAAATGATTGAGTATTTAGAATCTAGCAACTCCTCCACCCACAGCAATTTGGGTTTAGACCAGGTTATTCTCCTGAAGGGGCAAACTGCTTTTTAACTGAAAGTTTAAACAAGTCCCTGGATAAAGGTAATGTGATGGGTGCTGTATTTATCAACCTTAAAAGGGCATTCAATATGGTTAATCATAGTTTGATTGTATCTAAAATATCAGGGTTTTATTTTTCAGTTGAGGCAATAAGTTACAGTAGTTTACATAACTTCAGTCTTGAGCTCAGTGTGTTGAAATAGAGCGTATCTGGATTTTTGAACATAAAAAAGGGCATTCCACAAGGCTCGATACTCGGCCCTTTGCTGTTTAGTCTCTTCATAAACKACTTGCCTCTGCACTGCTCAGGTGTCAGCTGTCAACTTTATGCAGATGATGCGGTTCTTTATGCAGCCGCTCAGTTACCAGAACAAGCTGCAGAGGTATTATCCAACTATGTCTGACATCCTTGGTTCGGTACTGGCTCCTCAGTTTAAATTTGATAATAATATAAAGACAATTTCAAAAACAATACAAAGTAATATTGATTCAAACTAATTAGAAATTACTGTATATGCCAAGTCAGGCAGCCCTGCATTTAGGGTTGGGCGATATTAGCAAACAAATTAATCACGAATAATTGTGGTATTTAGCCAATAACGGTTAATATGATGATTAATCCCCTGGAGTCCCTGGACCCCTGAATGTGCTAGTCACATGATCAATTTAAACGATTTGCTCTCCATAAAAATCAGTTCCAAATTGTGTCAAAAGTACAGACTTCAGGCTTTAAATCAAATTTTAAATTGTGTTAATAAACCAAGTAAAACCAGTTATGGTAAATAAACTACAGAACTTTTTTTAAAATGTTAGTCATATTTGAAGCGGAGAGGAGCATCGGGGAAATCTCCAGTCTGCTTCCTAATGTTAATCATATTATTCATCAAATGCCAAAAAACAATCAATTAAATTATTTCTGATGATTAACTGCACGTGATTGAATTTTGTCCAACTCCACCTGCATTCTATGATTTTTATGTCACAGGCACAGGCCTCTCCAACTGTAACCAAACGCACTGGCTCTTTATACAATCAGGCTGTAAAAATTATGGATAAAAAGCCAATCATCACTGTACCATTATTAAGAAATATAATCTAATGAGCTCTGAAAGTTTTATTAGCTTTTGTTTTCGCTTTCATAAATGCATCAGTCAAGTAGCATCTGAGCCATTACACACATTTGTTGAGAGACAGAACAGCATTAGAGTCACTAGAAGTGCCACCAATCATGACTGTATTTGCAGGACAGACAGCCTTCTCTGTTAGGAGCTGTAAGTTTTGGAACTCATTACCACCTGATTTTAAGATCATAACTGACTTTAAAATGCTCACTTCAAAGCTAAAGAATTGGCTAAATATGAACCAGAATTGTATTCATTTTTAAATATTCTAATTGTTTTGGTTCAGTAGTTTTAAACACAAGGTTTTACAACATTTTATTGTAAATACTGTTGATCTTAACTTTTCATTTAAACAAACTGTTAAAGAGCCTTCTAGAGATGGGTTTTGTGAATTAGCTACAGCTACGTACACTGTGATGCAGGTTAAGATTGCTTTGATCTATGTTTCTTGTATCTGTCCCTATCAAATACACAATTTTAAAAATGCACACAGAAAATCGACAATACCAGCTTGTTTTTTTTCCTTCAGAAACCTCCCTCCCTCCATCATCTAGCACAGAGACAGCAAGTTAATTTCCAAGACAGACTACACAGCCCTCTGGGCAGCCTGTGATAACCTTTGTTGTGTTTTGTCTGAGGTTTAGAATGAAAAAAGACAAATGCAGCTAAATGAAAGAAAATAAGACAAAATGGTTCCTGTTGTGATTTTACCAAACAGTGGCCTATGAAAACTGCCAGCCCTGTTGACAATGAAGAAAGATCACTTTACAAGGTCAAAAACATTTCTGTTATTCTAAACTGCTTCCTGATAATGACTGGTGAAAAACGGGCAACAGATCAAACCTCCTGAACGAATGCAAGTCTTTCATTACATACAAATTACATTTAAACAAGGATGTGGTTTGAAAAGATCCTGAAGATCTGCTTTTGCTGTAGACAAATACTTTTTTGTCTTCATTTCACAGAGAGGCACACAAAAACTCAGACGGCAAAAAAGTTTAATGATTGAACCTTTTAGAGGTGTAATTTGAACACAGCGTTGCAGGGAGCCTGCAGTTTCCATACAACAAAGGAAATGATGCTGAAGAGGATAAAAATACACTAGAAGACAGACATGAACAAAGAAAAAGTGAGCTGTCTGCAGAAACTGGGGGAAGACAACTGCTTGGTAGCATGAAATCTGTCTGGAAACATGACTATAAAAAGACCTTTTCACAAAACAGGTTTTTATGTTTTCAAACTGTCAGTTTTTAACACATAAAGATAAAATATTGAAATCTTTGATAACTCTATGATTCTGTCTAGAATAAATCACTAAATTGCTGTTAAATCAACAGAATAAATGTAAAAGTAAAATATCACAGCTTCTCTATACTTCCTACTTCATCAGCTGCTAATAGTTTATCTTTTAAATCAATGACTTCTTGTGTATCTGCATGTCTATTCCTCTGAAAGTCTATCATCAGGCAACTGGCAACCACAAAGCAGCTGTGAGGATCAGTGTAGAAACCTTGAGGAACAAGATAGAACCTGACGCCAACTGTTGATATATCCCCCATCACGGAGGGACGCACGGAGAACAGGAGGAGAGTGACGCCTTTAAAGGTTATAAAAACCTTGATGAAACAATGTGAGCTAAAGCTGGACGCTGCTCTTCAAATACATGATTGTTTGCTGTAAACGTTTTATTTGCTACAGTAATGAATACTGAGTTAATTAAGAGTCATTTCAACAGGATTATTATAGTTAACTAAAACTAAATAATGAAAACTGAAATTGAAAAAACATTTTACTTTACTGAAATAAATAAAAACTGTAATAAAATTTAAAAACGATAATTAACTAAAACTGTAAAATCTTTTTACAAAACTAACTAAAACTAACTGAAATTATAGATATAGATAGAATATCCTTAGTTTTAATGTTTGTCAATTTATTTTGAGCCGTGTGGACTGATTAAACTAATCTTTTTTTTTTTAATTGAGCAGTTTCACATTATCTGTGGGCAGCTTACGGCATATTATGGTCCGTAACGTCACCTGTTTRCAGTGTGCTGCTGCTCAGAGCTTGCCTGCAAAATGACAACAACAAAAGTTGGGAGAAAGTAGTAAAGTCCGATTTGGGATTTCTTTGAATATGACTGTGAGAAAATTAAAAGCATCTTGTAGTGGAAACAGGTAATAGAATAGGTGGAATACTTCTCAAGGGACTAATTAACTGAGTATCTTGACAAGCTAGCTTCTCTTAGTAGTAGAGTTGGGCAATATTGGCAAAAAAAATTAATCACAATTAATTGTGGTATTTAGCCGATAACGATTAATTTGACGATTAATCCCCTGGAGTCCCTGAACACCCTTATTTTGTAGTCATATGACCAATTTAGTGGGAAAGATTTGCTCTTTATAAAAAATTGTTCCAAACTGTGTGAAAATTACAGATTTCAGGCTATACATCAATTGTGTTGATAGATAAATAAATTACAGAACTTCATTTTAATGTTCTTCTTATTTGAAGCAGAGAGGAGCACCGAGCGGACTGACCGGAGTAATCTCCAGTCAGTCTGTCTGCCATTGTATTGATTGACATGTATTGATTGTCAAGTGCCAAAAAGTAATCGATTAATGTTTTTCTAATCACCTTCTTAAAACAACTGCCCAAGTCCTTTGTTGGCAAAATTGAGTTACGGATTATTTTAGGAAAGTGTTGCTATAACGGACTGCTTTGACTAGTGATGAAAAAGCTGCTGGTTAATGAACTCACAGGAACACTTCAAGCTGGACGATGCATTGGCAAATATGTTTATTCAAACTACAAAAAAATAATAATAATAATACTAGAATTAATAAAAACTAAACTAAAAGTAAGCATTAAAAAAAGCAATAATAACTAATAAAAACTAGCAAATCCACTCCAAAATATTAAATACAACTAACTGAATTAAAAGAAAAACTGTCACAACTAAATAAAACTAAACTACAATGAAAAAACCAGAACTAGTATAACCTTACATTTCAAACAGAAAAGTGGATTAAAGTAGGTGTCAKCAGGTTTGGTGGTTTTAAAGCCATGTGTGAAGGTCTACTTCTACCTCTGCAAATAAGTGCCGCAGCTTTAAAACAAACAGCACAGCTTTTTGTGCCTCTCTGTGAGCAGTCTTACCTGTGAAGGTGCGCTGCTGGAAAGCCCCCCGCTAATCTCGCCGATCCGGGCAGCTGCCGTGGGATTGCTGGAGCTGATGAGGACCGGCCCACTGATCTCCATGGAGTGGCGCTGCGGGGGAGGAGCTAGCATGGGTTTGTGGGACATAGTGAGGGAAGTGAAGGAATGCCGTTTCTTGCTGTTCTTCTTCTCTCCTGCCCGCTGGGCACCGTTGCTCTGAGGCCCCAAGGAGGCCCCTTCACCGGAGTCTCCACTCGAGTCCGACTGCTTGTCTGACTCTATAAGCTGACGAGCCGCAGAGTTGAACTGTGAGAGAAGAGAGGCAGGTGTCGACAACGAGTATCACTGATGATGATAAACGGTGATGAAATCTACAAGTGACGTCAATCAGGGGTTGTCTCTGGGTACTCCAGTTTCCTCCCACAGACTAACAACATGAATATTAGATTAGTTCTAACTCTAGTTGTCACTAGGTGTCAACGAAAGTGTGAACGTTCATTTGTCTCTAAGTTTTTCCTGTGATGGACTTGTGACCTGTCCAGGGTGTACCCCACTTCTCGCCCAATGACAGCTGGAAATAGACGCGAGCTGCCCTGCAACCCTGAACGTTAAAGTGGGTAAAGAAACTGGATGAATGGATGGATGAACTGCTATTAAATTCTCAGAGTTGTAAAGTAACTAAGTACAAATACTTCTTTACTGTACTTAAGTAGAATTTTTTGGGTATCTGTACTTTACTTGAGTAATTATTTTTCAGCCTATTTTTTATTTCTACTCCTTACATTTTTTAAAAAAGGCAAGAAGTAGAAAGTCGTTACTTTTGTTTCATTTTTGGTTGTTTTCATTCCAGCTTGTTATTATAATACAAATAGTTTATAGATTCTATATAATTGTGCCTCGTAGATAGAGTGAATTTAATTGTGGTTGAATGAGAAGTGTATATATTTATATATATATATATATAGTATGTGTGTGTGTGTGTGTGTGCGCGCGTGTGTGTGTGTATTTGTGTACAAATATGTATGTTTAAATTAAATTGGTAAACGTTTATCTTTCCCCAGATAGCAAAAGATGTTAATTCAATGTTGAATTATGGTCAAAAAAGTTCGATGGTGAATCAATCATCTAACAATCATCCAATTCTAGCCAAATAACCAACGTTGAAAAGATGTTATTGAATCAATAGCTGTGTTTCCATTGACCATGAAAATGCGCAAATTAGAATTTCGAAAATAAATTTGCTTAATGGAAACACGTCAATTTCGAAAAAAACTAACTTTTTTCGACAAAATGGTTTTGCGCTAGGATGAGGTATTTTTTTGGCCGTATCAAAATTGATGTATTCCACAAAATTGCAATGGGAAAACGTTTTTCGCATCACGGGAGTCACGTGATCAACAACTGGCTGTTTCTACTGGCAAAAAAAAAAAAAAAAAAATACAATGAAGAAGAAAACAAGTAGTAGTAGTAGTAGTAGTAGTAGTAAAATGACGGAAGTTGTAAAAGAAAGTAGTAAACTCACGACTACATTTTCCCAAAAACGCTGCATACGTAGCCGCTCCCAAATATAAGGGGCTTGGTGCTCGAAAGCCTGGATAAGACGCAGACGTCTCCTCTGATGACTGAGGATGAGCGCTTGTGTCGTGGATGCATGTGTTTACATCCGGTGCCGCCATGTTTGTAATGATATCGCGAGAACAAGCGTGCTCACGCATGACTTAATAGCATTTCTTACTCAATGGAAACACCGCAATTGCGAAACTGTGATTTTTCGACATTAACAGAATATCGACCAAGTTTTGCACACATTTGCAATGGAAACGCAGGTAACGTTTCATGGTTGAATTCTAATGACTGAAATGCCAACATTTTATCAACTCTACGTTGATATAGTGAATCAACACTGATATCACTGTATCAGTTATGGTTGAAAACCTAACATTGTTTCAACAAGTCACTGACCACTTTCTGTATAATTTTAACATAGATTCAGTAACATGCCTGACCATATTTCAATGTTGATTCACTCACATTTTGCTAGCTGGGTCTAAGATGCCTTATCAATGACTCTTCCATAATAATAATAAAAAAACATTAATTACCTCCACATATGAGATGGGAAAAATTCCAATTTTATCTCCCAGCATTCCCTCTGCCCAGTTTTCATCAACTCTGCGTATTACAGTCAGGATATCATCCTAAACAAAAGCAGAGAGGGAAGTGTGTGAGAAGAAAACCTTTATTAAACCAGTGTGTGAGAGTTTAGCTCAACTTTTAGGAACAAATACTGAAGAGAAGTATTAATGATGACTCATGAAACACATCCAAGAGTAAAGGTGTTTTGGTCACAAAACAATTTACTAAGCTTGTTTCTCTTTTTGCTCATGTGGCATATAACTTGATGAGAGAATACAATACAATCAAAGTATGACCCAACATCTGGATAAACAAAGCAGCTCAATCACTGTAGTTAAGCTATGCCTCGCTGTAAATTCCCTTTATTCTCCCCAGTTTAATTACAGCTGCTCATCAACAAGCCTGGCTCTAAATCCAAACCATTGCTGTTGGGGTGTTTAGCTTAAAAAGCCTGACATTCAAGCACACATATAACTCTGGAAAATGAAGGCTTACAAGACAGATTGTCACTGTAATGAGAGGTATTTTTGTTTTACTGTGCTGGCTATGTGGCAAAAGGCTTTGCAGTATCTCACCTTGGAGAAGGGCAGACAGTCCTTGTCRGCCTCTTTGTCTTTGAGCTCAAAGTCATAGAGAGCTTTGCACTGAGGCGGCGGCTGTGGCAGCGGCTTAATGACCTGCACAAAGTTAGTGGGGAAAAAGCCGTGCACTCCACCCATCTCTCCATGGTACCAGTTCTCATCTACTTGCCGGCGCAGGATAATGATATCGCCTTTGGTGAATTTGAGATCTCCTGGTTCCTTGCCATCATAGTTGTACAGTGCTTTGGCACAAGCGAGCTGTGGGACACCCTGAAATGAGAAAGTGGGACAGTTTTGTAACTCCTGAGTCAAAACACACCCCCATTTGGAAGTGCAACAATTACGTTCTGCTTTTACACAAAGAACCTCAATAAGCATGTTACATTGTTAGCTTGATGGTACCCGACTAAGGGCTTTAAAAGACCCAGGTCCTGTCCCTTTAACTAGTAGGGAAAGGTTTTGTATCTTTGCCTGCAGGCCTAGAGTTCTGAAAGGCTCATTCAGGAAATGACAATCCAGGGAAAAGAGGGACAGCAAGTGAGGGGGAGTAGCAGGATAGGGAAGCATCAATGTTGTCTATTCAGTGTGGGTGTCTATGAGGAAGGCTTCGGTCCAAAACAACCCCCACACCATTGACTGCACTGCTGTTAGACACAGTGTGCAGTGATCAGAATCACAAACAGCACTAACAGACTGGATGTGAACTCTAAAACTGCAGAAATAATGTGGAGCACAGACCGTGAAAATGTTTATAATCAAAACAGACAGAGTCAGAAAGTGAGTTGGACAGGGAGGGGTTAAACACAGACTTTGGAGTAAGCTCTGCAGTCTTGTTAAAGACTAATGAAGCGTTTAAAGGCTCTGAGAAGAATAAAAGTACAGAATGAGCCGTGATGGTGAACCAGGGTGACATTACCCTGCTGCAGAGAATTACACAGCCTGAAGAGCAGAGCCAATCCACTCTGACTCTGCTGGTCTAGTCTGTGGAGAATGAAGGGAGAAAAAGGGTACTGCGGCCCCCTGGATGCTGCACTGGAACTGGGCCTCAATCGTTTTACGGGGAACAGGTCTTTGAGCTCACACTGAGCTGGAATGGAGTTTTGTCATGAAAATGCAAATGGAAGTGGAAGCTTTGACATTTGTTTTCAATGACAGAATAAGTTTAAGCTCAACATATAATTGGCAAATATAAACTGCTTGTGTCCTTAAAACTGTGACATATGTACAGTAGGTACATTTTTGTCAGTGTTGTATAAAATACCACAAAGTGATACTTGAGTAAAAGTACAAGTATCTTACCAAAAAGTTACTTTGGTAAAAGATAAAGTGTCATTTAGGAATATTACTTGAGTAAAAGTCTTAAAGTATCTGATATTTTTTGTACTTAAGTATTAAAAGTAAAAGTATTGATTTAAAATGAGTAGTTAGATTTTCTGTAATGACATTTATAAGGAAGTGATGACCTCCCCAAAATAATGCAGAAATGACTATATCGTGTTAAAATAATGAATTCATGTTAAATTTAGGATACACTAGTCTAGTTGTTTCAGTTTATGTACATATGTCAAGGGTGTCCAGAACTTTTCTCCAAAATGAAAATCTATCTGAGGGCTGTGGCCAAATGTAATAATATAATTCATTAAAATGAAAGAAGTAGAAGTAAAAAGTAGGCTGAAAAATAATTACTCAAGTACAGATACCCAAAAATTCTACTTAAGTACAGTAAAGAAGTATTTGTACTTAGTTACTGAACTCTGATTTTTGTGCAATAAAGCCAAAATACAATAAAACCTTTAGCAGCTGTGTTTAAAGTCAGTGGTGTCGTAATTATTTTGTACATGTAACATGACTGCAGATGTAAAATGTGTGTGTAAAAAATACTCTGTTACTGAAGGATTGGGTATCACCTACCACCTTTCATGCCCAAGTTTCATCTTCTGTTAAGAAGATGATTTTATAATTATAGTTGATAGT